CTTTATTAGTTCTCCCTTTGGGAGAACAGAAGTCCAGCGTGATGTGTGCTCCTGCACAAGTCTCAGAAGGCAGTGATTAAGGCCTTGGCCAGGTTCAGCTGTCATCTAGAAAAGCTGGGGGGAGATCTGCTTCTGAGTTCATTCTTTCCGGTGGCAGCATTCATTTCCTCCTGGTTGTAGGACTAAAGTCTTTTCTTGCAGGCTGCCAAGAGGGCCCAATCTTAGCCCCCACAGGCCACTGATGTCCTTTGCCACATGATCCCCTCCCTTTTTAAGTCAGCAGTGGCATGTCAAATCCTTATCACACTTTGAATCTTTGGCTTTCTTTTCCTCCTTCCATCAGCTCAAGAAAACACCCTGCTTTAAGGGAATGTGGGAGTCAGTCAGGCTCAGCAGATACTTTGCCTGTTCCAAGGGCAACTAGTCTGGAACTTTAATTACATCTTAAAAGCCCTTTGCAGCAGCACCCATATTAGCATCGGACTGAATGACTAGGACGGTAGGTGGACGGCAGGGCTAGAAATCTTTGGAGGCCATCTTGGAACTCTGCCTACCACAGGTACCCACTTCCTCAAAAGCTGCGAGGCCTAGATTACCAAATGTACAAAAGGCACCTTGCACAAGGAACATTAACAAGCAGGTTTCAGGTAGGGGGATTTTCAAGTGAAACATTAGCGAGATGGACCCCACAGTCAATGAGAATTTGGTTGGGGTAAAAGGAGGTTGGTAGAGGGTGGGAATAGGGCCCCAACCTCTTCCTCCAGGCCGAAGGGCTTTGTTTGAATCTGTTTAAAAATGGGTTCCTCCTGGGGTGAGGAACAGTGCTATGCTCCCTGATTTATGTCTTGCTGGGGTCATGGCTTTGAGGACCGGGCTTTGGAATGAAGGAGAGGAAATTTGAAAATGGATGGGCTTCTGGATTAGCCTGCTCAGAAACCATCTGCTTGGATCTTTTGATTCTGATGAGCGGAGAGAGGTTTCCCTTAGCAATGATTCCAGGGATTCAGAAACCAGTAAAATAATAGCTTTTCCAAAACCAGCCACACCAGACTCTAATTGGAAGAAATGGGAATGGATCTCCACTCCCTTTGCTAACCACATACAGGCTGTTGCAGGGGAACATTTTCAAATCGCAGGAGGCCACTTCTTTTCTCAGCTTGGCATCACTGGTGGAAGAATCAGAAAAGAGGCCAAGGCCCTATTGACTGTGGGAGAAAAGCAAATGGCCCCCATCCACGAGTAAGAACCTGGACTCCTGTTCACTCTGCAGTGGAACTGCCCACAAGAAGTCCACTTTCCAAATGGCCTAGAGTAGTCATAAGATAATTCAGGGAGAGGGAGGAGAGAGAGAGAGAGGAACAGGGAGGAAGAGAGAGAGAGAGAGAGAGAGAGAGAGAGATAGGGTGAAGAGAGGAAGAGGGAGTGAAATAGAGAGATCATTCTGTTCATTCCATGGATGCCATGGGGAGGGCACTTATCTTTCCCAAACCCCCAGACTAGACAATTCTTTTTTCTAGCAGAATTCTTTCTTCATCTTTCCTGGCCTTTTCTCCCCGCTCTCCTCTATCTGCCTTGGTTTCTGGATCTTCTCAAAGCTTCCCCCAGGAAAACTTCAGCCAATTTACTCCCTTTGAACAACTGTTGTTTCTGAAAAGTTGCCCAGTCTTTTTCCTGTGATTTTCAGAGAGAGAGAGAGAGAGAGAGAGAGAGACTCACGGCCAGGCTCTTCTATCAGGGGTGGCCAGGAAGGAGGAGAGGGGACGGCAGGGGCTCCTGATGGATGGTCACACACACACACACACACACACACACACACACACACACACACACACGCGCGCGCATTCTTACTTCTGAGAAATACTGAATCAGTCACTGCGGGGCATCACCTTCCTAACTAGAAGGAAGAAAACCAGCGAAGAGAATTCACATTTGCAGTGTAGCTGTTGGAGTCTGTATTTAAGGGAGCCATGACTCTGTTTAACTTTGCCTGTCATGGCCAGAGGGTTACAGAATTGACCACAGACACACGGGCAAAACTCCAGCCCATGCTAGCCAGTTTTAACATGTCTAAGGACAGATGTTGTCCAGCACGGGGTGGCTGGTAGGCCAGGGGAGAAACCTGAAACTCAGCCTCTAAGCATGCTGGGGATGGTTACCTGTGCTCCAGTAAGCCTGGCTGTCACCATTGCTGATTAAAGATCAGGGCTAGGAGCAGCACAGTTGGGGCTCATTAGTTTATGGCCTGAAGTAGGGAAAATGACATCTCCTGGCTGCCCGTGAGCCTGGCTCTTTGCAATTCCTGACAGGTGTCATCATGGCTGGTGGAGCCTGGCTTTGTTGGCTGGTTGCTGTGATCAGCAGCTGATGGCCTGATGGAAACGCTTTCCCTGATTACATTTGGAACTTGAATGGTACCACACTAGGTAACCTTGCGATGGGAAAGCCAGGGAGCAAGGGCAGCACTTGCTGAAAACGTCAGGGTCAGAGAGCAAGCGCACGGATAAACCACCGACAAGTGGCATGTTCTGAATTTCAATTTGCCTAGATATTGATATCCGATCGACAAATATTGATCGAGAGCCAAATCATTCACAACAGTACAAGCTCCATCGTCTACTGCATGAAATAAAAAAGAAATGTGGGTGGAGAAGTAAGTCATTACCATCTCCTATTGGTAATGAGTTCGAGTGGCAGAAGGCTACTTTCTGACTTCCTATGGGTGCTGTATTTCTCAGTGTGAAGCTTTCAAAGGAGAAAGAAAGAAATCACTTAGACTAATGGTCTCTTCCGGGAAAGTGGTGAAGAACGCTGATTTGGCTTATTTTATTACCTGCATCCTTCCCGGGGCAGCAGATTGCTGATACACTTATTTTGGGGAGCAGTTAATCGTAGGTAATTATTGGCATGGAAGCACCCACGTATGTTTATAAATCATTTTGTTTTAAATATTGGCAGGGTTGTGGCTGCGGACAAAGAGGTCCTGTCTGTGCAAGAGAGAGACAATTAGCCAGCTCATTCATTGTCTCTTTCTTTGTTGTCCATTCTAATTATTTGTCTGCAGGGGAGATCCAGAGGCTTCTTCAGCCCTGCACGCTGGGTCAGGCTTCATCAGTACTTCCTCCTGGTTCTGTGAACTGAGTGAGGGAACACTTTTTCTTAAGGGCCTGAGTGCCTACCTCTTATAGGAGAACCTTGGGTGTGATTCAAAATTACACTAGGTTCCATTTTTAACACGGACACAGTCACAACACATCTGCTTATGTAATCATCCTGCTGACACAATACAGTTTGAGGGGAGTGGGGGTGTCCTTTGCCTCTGAAGTTCAGTTCCAACATTAATAAATAAGCTGGCCCTCTTCTATGGGCCACAAACCTGCTTAGGAGACTGCCTCATTCAACCACCTGCACGAAATGGCCCTGTGGCTTCTGAATACAGCAAGGTGCATGTTACCAGCCCCCAGGAATCCTGTATTCAATGACCAACGTCATTTCTGGTCAGTACATTTTTACAAACACATGGTGTAAAACTCAAGCTTAAAATTGTTTGTACAGCTTGGTGAGAAAGATCTCCAGCCCCAAAGTAACACAGGGGTTTAAGGCCACAGGAATGTGGCTAAATGAATGCTAATCTACACTTACAAAGCTGCTCATTGTCCCTTATTCTCACATCTGCAATATATGTGTATACAATTTTCCTGGGGGCAAAACTGCAGAGTTCACTGGTCCCGATTTCCATGCTATTGATGAAATAAAGGTAATATTGAAAATGATGGTGTCTGAGAAGGACTCTCAAATTGCCTTTTTATTGCATGCAATTAGCAGTGCAATCGAGAACTACTATCTTCTAATATAAAATCATCAGCCAGAGTTGCAATTGAAATTCTCCACAGTGATTTCCGCCAGTAACCGTCAACTTCTTCCTCTTTTTATTTGCTAACCATTTTCCCCCTTGCCCCTTCCCTCCAGTTTTAGCACTACAGGATAATGAAACAATAGTTAAACTGGGCTAGCTCTGAGTTTCAACCAAGATTTACGGTTTACTCATTTCCCGGAGGGACTATAAAACCACTGATGACATCTCATTTTGAAATCTCTTGTAAGGGTTGGGTGTGGTGCAAAAGTGAACTCTGGCAGTGATATTTAGACAAGTTCTGTACTTCAAAACAGATTCCTCAACTAATATGAAAGATTTCTACCATAGCTGGGAGATCTCAGCTAAGAAAATGATACTTCTCCACCCCCTCAACCCCCAATTTTATTCTACATATTTTTTATATCCCCCCCCTCCTAGATTTTGCTTTGGGTTTTAAGCATTCCAGGAAGATTCTTCTTTGTGGAAGCATCAACCCTCAGACTCAAGTCAGCCTAAATCATCATGGTAATCAAAGATAATAAACTATCTCCAATTTAGAACACTCACAAGAAAAGTACAAGCCACAGAACTGGGAAGAGCGGGGTGGCCATGCCAGGGAACGGACCGTTTTTCAGCGCTTCTGACCTCTGTGAGCTCAGACACCGGGCAGAGAATGAGAGGAAAAGCTGGGTCTTGGGGTCTAGCCTGCTTTTAGAAAGGCGCCCAGGTCAACCCAAAGAAGCAGAGTTAAGGGCTGAATTCCTAGCAGCTCTGGAGTTGCCCTTTTTGGAAACCTCTTCCTGGAAAACCGAAGTCCTGCACCTCTCCACATCAGGCCAAAGAGAAAGCGGGTGGGAAGGCACTGGGGAACGAGAGGGGAGCTAAAAACCAGCGGGTAACAGGGAGCTCAGGGGAGTGGCTGAGAGCATTTCTCGCTGCGCTGCGCTGTTACACAAGAAACTTTCCTGCGCTGAGCTCTTAATCCTGGGTTAAACTCTGAGGTCTGCAAAGGCTGGTGGGGCCGGGCAGGGGGCGCAATGTGTGGTGCCCGCGCCCCAGTGCCGGGCGAAGCCACCGCAGACCGGGGCTAGGTGGCGGGGAGAGCGAGGAGCGCGCAGGGAAGCGGGTCTCCGGGCGGGGTCCTCACCTGTTCCAGCGGGCCACCTTCCTCCGGTAATACCGCAGCGCCTCCCGGCCGGCCA